TTTATATTATATTATATTATTCATATTATGTTATTTAATAATTTAATTTAATTTAATTTTAAAACAGAAATAGAACATAGGTTATATCAGATTAGATCCTTCAAAATTTTAATGTAATTATAATTATCAATAAAAACTAAATATTGAAATAATATAAATAAAAACTTAAACAATTATTTAAAGAATTAAAACAGATTTTTAATAAATTATGTTTGAAAGCACTATGTGAATGTCTTTAGAGGTTAGGAAGCGGATAAACATATTTGTGATTACATTTTTACAAAAAGTCACTCGATAAAAAATAAATATAATAAATTTAATTCATTTACGTACTCTTCTTTTATACAAACAAACACCCTTTTGTTTATCCTCACTATAATCAAATGAACAATCATCGCATTTCTCATCATAATCCGCCATTTCCTCACACGTGCACTCCAAAATCCGGACTAGACGCGCATTAATCTATTTAATTTTTGCAAACAAAATTATGAAATTTCTAACTGAAAATTCAAGAATTTCTCGAAATTGCATTTCTTAAAATTGCAATTAATACTGCCTCTATTGCAATTATATTCTAATACTTTATTAGTTTTTAAATATTTCAAATTTCTGTAATGTACAAAAAATAGCGCGCGATAGCATTAAATTTTAATATCGATAATTTAGTATCTCGCTTTTACCAATGGATGAAAATTAGCAAGAAAATTGCAAGAATTTGAATTCTAAAAAAACTAACAAAATCAAATAAATATAATCGACAAGGACATAACACTAGTTAAAATTTTTCGAATTTTTTTTTAATTTTGAGAATTGTAATTGAAAATTGAAAATTTTCAATCTCAAAAATCAATAAAATATCAGAGTTTCTAAAATTTTTTAAATTCCGAGAATTGGAGAACTTAAATTTCGAAAATCGACAAAAAATCAGGAGAACATAAATCGACTATTGAGAGATTTGTACTAATATTTCAAAAATTTAGACATTTCTAAAGATTGTAATTCCGAAAATTCGAGATATGAAAATCGTAAAAATTAGAAATCTCGAAAATGGACAAAATAACAAAAGGTTGTTTCCTATTCCTGAATTGGGCCATATTAAAACTTTGCATTTCTCTTTTATCAAACTTGAAATATCTATTTTATTTTAAATACGAATGTTTACAAAAAACAAATAAAATACAATCGGCAAATAGATTGCATTAAAATTTTAATGATTCAAAATTCTTGTATTTTACGTCTGCGAATTCGCGGAACACAAAAGATATTGAAAACATTAAAATTTTATTGAAAATTTTAATAAAAAAAAACTGGTAAACACAATGTGCATTTGTTAATTCGCTTAGTGCATAAAAGTCGCATATCGAAACTCTTAACAATTTTCGAAATATCGATAAATGTGTATTCTTGGCATTTTCATTATTTTGTGTTTTTCATTTCATTTGTGTTTTTGTATTGGTAAAGCAAGTAGGTTAAGTTAGGTTCACACTGTTTATAATTCCGCAAAACAACGAAAGCTAGTACAGTGTAACATCTTGATAAATTGTTAAGTACGCGTCAAGAGAATTTACGTCAAAACATTTAATATTTTCAAAAGATTATCAAAAAGATAAACGAACGACAGAATCAACATCTTCCATGTTTTAGTCTGCATTGTGCCTCTTTATCCTGCAGCTGGTTTGTGTTTACAGCATTTGCTCTCAAGGTTATATTTGATAACATATTTTTTAAAGATTTTTATAAAAAACTAGTATTTTATTCGGTTGCCTTAGAATAGAGTATGGTACAAATTTACAACGAGTTATATTATTCATTTCAGGAAATTATGTATTAAATCGTACAAGTATTCATGATGCTCAAAGTAACAATGGATAGCTCTTCAGATGAAGATGATCCATATACAAATATTGTTGCTCGCTTAAGAGGTAATGCTTCTTGCAATAATTGAAATTTAATTATTACAGTCAAACATAGAAGTATGAAAATTAAGACAATATAATTTGATGTTTATTTGGATATTTGTCTAATTCTTGTAAAATTAAATATATTATTCCATACTTTTAGCAATGAAAAAACAACGTCTTGAGGAAGAACTTCATCCTACAAAGTATGCATCATACAAATGAATACACACACATGAATATTTGTTGCTTAAGATTATAGCATTTATTAATCATAAAATGTTAATATTTCACAAATAATATATGTACTTATTTATGAAATTTGCAGTACTGAACAACAAACAAATCATAAAGAAAATGATAATAATGAAAAACTAAGTGATAAAGAAATATACAATAAAGACTCAACAAGCGATGAAACAGATAGCGATGGAATGCAAATGCGAAGCAGGATGATAAGAAATAGAAGGAATAAAGATGACTCTACTACTAGAGTTATTAGTAGGCGAACAAGGGGAAGGGTAATTTTTTTTTATATGCTTATATAAATATATATTGTATATATTTTAGATATGTATATATATTTTTAGATATATATATGTATGTATTAGTTTATCTTGGAAGCAGAGTTTTCATTATTTTGATGGAATTTTCAAAATTTTAAAAACTCATTGTTTTCAAGAATACATAAATGTACGTAAATAACAAAGAATTCATAAATACATATTGTATATCGATCTATAAGAGAGATTATATAATTTTCATATATTTCAATATTTCAGCGTTTGCCTGTCGATTTTAACGACACAAAAGATGATATAGAAATCGTAGAAGAGAAATCTAAATCAATTCCCGAATCCCATACGGATGACGTAATTACATTATCAGATGATGATGTGTACAATGAAGATGATAACTATGAAATAAATATAAAAGTCTGCTGGAGATCAAACAGAATTGATCGTTTAAGTATACATAGAGTGTGTGTCAATTATCAAAGAGTGTAATAAATTCTTATATAATTATTTTTGTTGTATTTGTGAAGAAAATTTTTTCTTTTTTTTGTTTTGTTACAGCATGACTGTTTCAAAGGGATTTTCCAATATTACGCCAATTTAGAAAAAGTTCCTGTGAATGAGATTCTAATTATGAGAAAGGATAAAATTGTTAATCACACTGATACACCCGCTTCGCTCGGACTTTCTGTTATAGATATACTTGGTCAGTATAAACACTAGTTACGACATTGCAAATGATAATGTAAGACTTGCTTGCAGATGGTGGAATCGTGAATCCAGGTATGAAAACGCTATCGAAGGATGAGAGCAATGATGAGGACGCATGTATCATTAAAATTCAAACGGCAAACAAAAAACAATCTTTGACTATATCACTTAAGAAAAATGAACGATTTGAGGCGCTATTCGCTAATTGTGCCAAGCAACTTAAAGTGAAGGAGAGTAATCTGAAGCTTTATTTCGACGGAGAACAGATCAGTCCGAACGATACTCCGGAATCATTAGATCTTGAAGGAGAAGCATGTGTCGATCTTCGTATCTCTATGTAATGAGAGGATAGCCAAATGTATTGTTTTTTTATACGTTTTTACTTCTTGTTTTATTCTAAATATGTAAATATGTAATTGTTTATTACATTGTGTATCTCATATCATTGTGTCTCTCTTGTTTGTGTTTAATATAAGAGAATTTATTAATTCTATACTTCTATACTATATTAATTCTATACTTTCAAAAAGGCATTAATAGCTTAAAGTACAATGAATTGTAACATTCGTAAAAAAACATTTAATCTGAAAAAGAAGAAATGTAAATTAACTTTTGAAATCAAATCGTGTTTATAGTCGAATTATTAAAAATAATTTTAAGCAAACTTTGTTTTAAATTACACTTATCAATATAGCCTATTATGAGATTTATAAAATTGAACTCTGGAGAAAATGGTATTTTTTACAACAACGAATATATATTTATGTATATTGATACATTATCATATTATACATAATGTACATAACATAATGATAATACTCTATAGGTATATAAATGTATTATATTTATATACATATACAGCGCGTTCAATACTTGTTTATTACGATTCTGCACAATATATTGACTACATTCAATTTGCAATTGCTATTCGTTTTAACATAAGCAGCCAAGAACATTAACTATTAACATACATTTCGTTCGCATTAACACTCCTTAATCAATTGAGAAAGTACACTTTGTTTCGTTTATGAACACCAATTTTTTTAACGACAATTTCAAGTTGACGTTGAACATGTTAGTATATGAAGTATTTAATCACTATACATTTTTTATGTTCATGGTTCATTATCTGTCAAAGTAGAGCATAGATAAGATGACAGAATAAAAAGGTGTGTGAGGAAATGTACAGTTTGCTGACGACTCTTCCAACGATAAATATTGCACGGCAATTCAGATACTTTCATCGAAAATATTAGGCGTGGATCTCGACAAAAGGCGTGTCGTATGTGCTAATTTTATCTATATACTTTTCTATATAATACATGATAATGCAATAGCAATTTGTTAAAAGGAATGTTTCGGAGAGTCAAAAAAATTGTCAAAAAAAGTAGCTTAATCATTAAATTTGCGATTTGAATTGCGTCCGAAAAGAGCGGAACGGATTTCGGGTATCAATTGCTGCGCTATCAGCTCTAATCTAGTCTCCAAAGTATTGTTAATCTTTATACGTCCTGCAAAACAAAACATTTTAATAATGATTAAGCAATTAACATAAAATATATAATTATTAGCGTTGTAACTAATATTATTATATATAATTATTAAAGTTGTAATTCAGATCACTCTAGTTTAGGTGATAATGATTATGAACAGTTCTTTTGTTTAAAGCAATTGTTTTAAGCAATTAATAATTTTGTAATTGTAAATATTTCAACAATATAATTACCTTTGGATGCTAACAATTCAACACCTCCGCAACTTTCGCTAGACAAGAAATTATCGGTATCGATCTTCAAGGTAACATCTTTCTTAGTTTTTTGCTTATATTGTTGCTGAATGGTGTCGATAAGGGACTCTACAAGAGGTACATCGACTTGACGAACACGAAGAGTAACATTCGCCTCTGTAAGCTGTAAATATATAATTATATAAACATCTATAGTATATAAAAGTGATAAATGATATAACAATAATAACAAAATAATTAAATTTATAAAAATATTACTTGATAAAGGCCTTGGATGATTAACAGCTGAAGAATTTCTCTATATCGTGTGGGATTATGAGTTACTTCGCCTAATCTTTTTCTAGCTTCATCAAGGACATTGCGTACGTGATCTTCACGTACTTTTAGAGCCTTTAATCGAGCTTGGTTAAGCATGTTTGAAGATTGTCTATAGGAATAAAATTATAAATGTACAGATATATGTTAGACATACAGATATATGTTTCTTTTACAATTTTGACAATTTTTATTTAGAAAATTAAAGAATTAAATTTAAAAATTCTGAGAGATCATGACTTCCAATAATTCATATTATACAAAATAAATATTTTGTTAATAAAATTAATAAAATAATTTTTTACACATACATTTTCTTTTGCAATTCAACTTGCTTTTCCTTTTTCTCATAATACTCCATGATTTTTAGACGCTGTTGTTGCACCAGTCGTCCCTTTTCAATATTAAATTCTTCTTCTGCCTTAGCATCTATTTCTTCTGCCTTTTCATTGGCCTCTTGTTCTATAAAGGCCATCATATGCTTGATCTGTAATTATATTGTTTCTTGTTAGACAAATTCATTATACATAATATTTATCAATCATTATTAAAATCTTGATGTTTTTCCTTACAAAAGTGTATGGTAAGTTACATAAAAATATACATTTTCCAAATAACATCTTAGTCAAGAGCTCTAAATGACTGAAGTTTGAAATAAACACTTAATAATTTCATAAATACTAAAATATATATACGAAAGACTGGAGATTATTTTCTCGATAAAACGTCAGTCGCTGGTCGATTTTGCTTGGACGTGCGCGGACTCTCGCTCTCTTTCCCTGTCATGATTTCGAGCAGTTATAAAATCAAAATCCGAGATAAGGAGATCAGGAAGATCTTTCGAGAAACGCGACGATGTCGTTTGGCAAGAGCAATAACAACGGATAATCATAAAAAGTTATTAATAGCGTAAGAGCACAATGCTCGAGAAGAAGACGAGATCCTCAGGGGAGGTCTCGCGTAAGGGAAGGAAGCGAGTGTGGCAACCCCTTTGCTTACCTGTTTTTGAACGTCTGCATCGCTGAGAGCCATGGTGTCGTCTGATCTTTTTCCTGAGGATACTTAGAGAAACTTGCCAAAGGACTCGGGATCACAAGACACGGTGCACAAGAGTCGTCCAGTCAACGCCTATAACAGCACATCCGACACTCAGCGTAACGTCGGTCATATGACCCGAAGTGTGACCCAAGTCGCGTTCCGAAACGCATACGGCCGCGGCCGACATCGCGCGCATGCGCGCGCGCCATCTCGCGTCGATCGTGGCGTTGCGCGTTGTGTTTGAAATTGCGTTTGCGCGTCCGGCCGAATTCAGGTGATAGGAGAGGGGAAGGGGGCACCACTGCCGAAGACAGTTTTGCGATCATGGCGGACCCGTTGAGTCTGCTGCGGCAGTACAACGTTAATAAGAAGGAGATAATCGAACGTGAGAACCAGATAATATTCGGCGAGTTCTCCTGGCCGAAGAACGTGAAAACCAATTATCTGACTTATGGGTGAGTACGTCGGGAGCGGAATGTCTGGGGTCGTTCCACGCGGTCGCAATCTGTTCGACTGCCATCTTTAAAGGAAGAGCAGGGGAGTCGTGAATGTGTGAGAGAGAGGGAGATACAAGGAGTGACGAGCACGATAAATAAACAAGTGTATTCGAGATGTAATTAAACGCCGTCACGAAGTGAATGAAAGATTGCTGAAAGTCTGGTTGAAAATCTAGATCACGTATCTCTTTGCATTTGTGATTCTCTCGTCCAAAATATTTTTCAATTTTGAAATGTCTTTATATTCCTTTTATATTTTTAAATAAAATTTAATTTTATATGTTTCAATTAAAACGAACAAAAATATTGCTATCTGCAGGAATACTCGTTGGAATTAGAATGCAATATTGTTATCATTTTATCTCTATTTTCTCTTAAAATCAAAATTAATAATATTTCAAATTTAAAATTATAGGCGTGCATTCGTATAAAACGATTTGTATTAAAAGTGAGTACATTGCATGTTTTATTCTTAAATTAAAAATATAGAGAGAAATTAAAATGATAGAAGTTTTCTTTTTACGTCTTTCTATCAAACAACTCACATTTCTTTCTGTTTTTCCTTTAGATCTGGGAAGGAAGGTACACCCAAGGAATATTACACACTCGAGTGTCTTCTATTTCTGCTCAAACATGTTCAACTTACACATCCAGTATATGTACGACAAGCAGCTGCGGAGAATATCCCAGTGGTGCGTCGACCTGACAGAAAAGATTTACTGGCCTATCTCAATGGTGAGACTGCCACATCAGCCGCCATAGACAAATCGGCACCGTTGGAGATTCCAACTCAAGTGAAACGTGCCGCCGAAGATGGCTTGGAGAGCGGCTCGTCAAAAAAACCTCGTTTCGAGGAGACCCATGTGCAAAAGGTGAAGGAACAGCTAGCTGCGCGTTTAGATGCTCCAAAAGAGGCATCAGTTACTGTCGACAATATCAAATCTCTCTCGGAGGCAATGTCGGTGGAGAAGATTGCCGCGATCAAGGCAAAACGTTTGGCGAAAAAGCGTACCACCATCAAGGAAAACGATGATATCGGTATGGGCTCAGATCTGCGCGTGATTCTCGACATGGACGTGGACGATACAAAGGACATCGTGTCTCGCGAACGCCAGTGGCGGACTCGTGCCACCATTCTTCAGAGCAGTGGCAAGATTTTCGCAAAGAATATTTTTGCTATTCTGCAAAGCATCAAAGCGCGCGAGGAGGGCAGGCAGAAGGGCCCGGCCGTGCCCACGCCCATGGTGACGCCGCGTTCGACACCCATGCGGCCTCTGCCACAACCGGCTGTATACAATCGTTATGATCAGGAGCGTTTCATCCGGCAGAAGGAAGAAACGGAAGGCTTCAAAATCGACACCATGGGCACGTATCACGGCATGACGCTGAAGTCCGTGACTGAGGGCACGAATCCCGCGGTAAGGAAACCACCGACCAATCCATCTGCCACGCCGACTTCTGGTTTACTGCCGACATCCGCCGCTAAACTAACGCCTCAGCAAGCCGCGCAAAACAAACGACCGAGCCGAACGCCTATCATCATTATACCCAGCGCTAATACATCTCTCATCACTATGTACAATGCCAAGGATATTCTCCAAGATTTAAAATATATCAGTAATGAAGATAAACGGGCACAAGGCTGTAAACGAGAGAATGAAGTGCTTCTTCAACGGCGGAAGGAAGGCGGCTTCACCGTACCTTATCGAGTAGTCGATAATCCACAGAAGCTCACCCATGCCGACTGGGAGAGAGTGGTTGCTGTATTTGTTATGGGACCGGCATGGCAATTCAAGGGTTGGCCATTTGACGGCAATCCAGTGGAAATCTTTTCGAAAAGTACGGAAAACTTTTTTTCCAACAAAAGAAGTTTTCATATGATTATCTTACACTTGTATAATATTTCATACATTTTAGATTATTTTGAAAATAATATATCGTAATGAACTAGTTGAATTAGCCGCTTTATTATACTGCGAGGATCATACTTATACAACTATACAATACAATTATAAGCTTTTAGATTTTTTTTTAGTAGAGAGAGAGAGAGAGAGAGAAGAAAATATAATTTGCATCAATATTTCGTTTTTATCGACTTGGTATTCTATTTTGAATATTAAAGCAATTTATTTTCTTTTATAGTATGTGCATTTCACTTGAAATACGACGAGATGAGGTTGGACACAAATGTAGCGCGATGGGCGGTCACAGTGATCGAGTTGAGTCGGACGAAGAGGCACTTGGACAGAGCAGCGTTAATGATATTTTGGGAACATCTCGATAAGTGAGTACCTTATCAATTTAATTTATAATTACGTACACACATCTTTACGTACACGTATCTTTCTAAATATAATCTTATTTCCGAAATTAGCAGATTGATTGATGTTTTAATTTCATCTAACTCCAATTTTTAATTCTCACTGTTACGAATATATATTAATTTATTTTCAAGTCGATATTAGTATAATATTAGTATCTCGAATTTTGAAGATAAATTCTATCTTTACAGACATATGATCAAGAATAAGCCACATCTTCGCTTCTAAAGTTCTGTGGTTCGGACAGTAGAAGCGAAAGTATACCGATTGCGGCGTCCTATGTTGCCACCAGTTGGAATTCTTATTGATAAGAATAATTAGGGCCATGAGGTCCTCCGGCGATGGTGTTGCGACGCTGATTTGTACCGCGGATAAAACGTCCGCGAAAAATAATGTGATGTGTGATGACCGGATCGTCGTCATACTACGTTAGACGTTTACATTCTATTGTTGCTTGCACGAATAAAGTACTAAAAAATATTGCATTGAATTATCACTCGTTGAATTGAAAATGTCTTGTTAACAGTGCTCGCCTTCGTTAAGCTACGACTTCATACTGCATGTTATAAATACGATTTCTTAATCCTTGAATGTTGCTCGAGGATCGAATAAAATACGAGCGCGGGGAAAAAATTTAAAGTGACGGAGGGGTTGGCCTCCGTCAATTTTTCAGGCAAACGAGCAAGAGGATTACATTTCGTCGGTCGATAGCGGTATTAAGTTTCTCCGCGCGTGCTTTGTAATTCGAGACGCGACATCGCGGACTCTCCCGAGGGGAAAAAGAATTCGCGGGCAAGAATTCGCGAGGGATTCGGTCTGTTTTCCCTGCTCCTAAAATCAAAGCTAAAGCAAATCGCTCGCGGCGCGGCTTCGGCTACGGCACGATTGACCGACCGGCGTTGTTTATACGATGGTGGATCGAATATTTCTAACTAGATTACCAACGCTCTATTACTTCGACAAATACGACGGATTTATCGCCCCCTCTCTGCTCCTGACATCCATTGCTGCTATTCCATCTTCTCTCCCTCGAGCAACCGTTACTCGGGAGAGGCAGTCGAGAATCGTAGCGCGTTTCTTTTCAATTATCCCATCGTGCTTTTCTTACGCGGAAAATCGAATAATGCCGTTTTTTTTCTCTTGCACAACCACAAATCGAATTAAAGATTAACAAAATCGTAACTGAGACATGTTAATTATGTAATTCTCATTGTTCTTAAGCAAATTTTCTATAAATAGACGACAAAGAAGACTACGAGATACCTCAACCCGCACATATATTTTTCCTCCAGCTTCCTGATTTCTTTTACCTTAAGAGAATTAATATTAAGGGATTCTTCTTGGCTATATATATCTCCGTACGTTCAAGTGAACTTGTAATTGCATTGCGTGCAATTCGGTTGCACGCAGGGGATGCTCGGCAGCACGGCGGGTGGTAGATGATGCAGTATGCCCGCCGATCTGGCGGCTGACAGCCGATCCGCCGCCACTTGGGCGCACACGTGCGCGTCCCGTAGTTGCTGTTGCACGCCGGGGGTGAAGTAGTTGCTATAGCGAAAATTCAGAGCGACGGCCTCCTGATCGGCCGTGGTTTTCGCGATCGACAGGTCGGTGCCCTTGGCGAATTGCTCGCTCGGCACGATGTTCAGCAGGCAGTAACCCGCGTCTCCGTAGACGTTCCTGGACAAGCTGGTGTAGATCGGCGCAAGCATCGTGCCGGGGATCGGCTGTTGCTGTTGCTCCCCCGCGTTGCTGTCGACGATCGTCTGTGGAGGCCGGAAGGCCGAGGAGGTGTGACCGATGCTGGCCGACATCGCCGGCTCGGCGATACCCAGGCTGTCGCTCGCGAAATACTCGATCGCCTTGAGCAGATCCTGGCCGCAGCGTTGCAGCACGAGTTGCAAGACCGACAGCTTCGTGTTTGGGAATAAACGGGCTAGAGTCTCCACGGAGGTCTGAGATACCAGAGTGGTCTCCCTAACACCCTCCGGCTTGCCGGCGTCGAAGAAGAGGCTCTTGGATCTCGAAGAGGTCTCCAGGTTGTCCTGGAGTGCGAAAGAACGATTATGCAGAAGAATCTTTATCAACAATGGATTTGAATTGACTCTTTCGTTTTTTTTTTTCTGATAATTTATACGTACGGGACAGTTTTGGATACGAGCGGGCAAAGCGTCACTGGTCGACACGTGTGGAAGATCCTTCGAATCTTCGGAAGTTCCGTCGAGCTTCTTTGTAGCCGGAATCGCATCCTCGTTTTGGCCCACCGTCGATTTCGGCTCCGTCACAGACATTCCAAAGATCTTGCCCGGCGGAAGTCGATCGAGCTTCTGTCCGGTGGCCACCTTTGCCATTTTAAGAGCGATCGCATCCTCGGCCGCCTGTTGTCTCTTCAAGGCAACCTTGTTGAAAACAATGTCTTAATCCAATGGAAGAATTTAAATTTCTTCCATCCTGCTTTCATCCGATAAATAAACGAAAAGATTATCCTATGAATTTTGTGCGTCAATTAAAGGTAGAAAAGAGAGCGCAAATCATAGAAGAGAAATTT